TATACATGTACACTTATAACAAAATAGTTTCAAATAATGTTTTAATATAATATCACTACTGAGAGAGGAGAATTTTCCTTTCAGAAGTAGCGTGCCACAAATATTTACCCAGTCTATTTAAAGATTTAACACTTTCACAGGTAAATAATTCTATTAGTTTATAGACACTTGGATGTCGATAATAATACTGTTTGATGTATGCTTTTCTTAAATCAGAATATGCAGGACAAAGTAGTACAAAATGTACTTCATCTTCGATATCATTTTTATCGCAGACTGTACATATTCGCTGACCTCTTGGAATGTTATTATAGCGCCCAGATTCTATGTTAAGACTGTGTGCTTGCATGCGAAATTGACTCAATAACTTTTTTTTATCCTTATATCAATGGGCTTAGTCAGATAGAACTGGACGCAAAAGGTATCAACAAGATGCTTGAACAAATAACATTTTGAAGATGCATCAAAAGCACTGCGTAATTCTTCGTAACACATCATGAACACGTTGAGCATACATTTGCAAAAAAAAGATTTTCATTTTGTACATATTAACAAGTCCAAATATAATTAAATCCCAAACTATGCTTAATTTGATAAACCCAATTAATTTTACAATTAGGTTTTCTGATATTCAATTCGACTAATGCGTCGTAACATGATTTTAAAACACAGTTACTAGTATTTAATTTTTTTAACCAATATCCCATTATGGCCATTTTACGTTGCACATATAATGAATATCTCCCAGTTTCAAAGTAAACCATAGAAGTATTGACAGTTTTCTTAACATTCAATAGGTCTTTGAGAAAAAGGAGATGGATTGTTTCAATTTGTGGCGATACATTATGCCCCCAAACTTCACACCCATAATTCAATATACATGCAACATATGTATCGAATAAAGACATTATAGTTTCCGTATTAAGGGCAAAATCTTTCATTTTTCTTTTTAAATGGTAATATGCTTTCCGTCCTTGACAAGCTAACGTATCTTGTGTTACAGTAAATCTTCCATTATAGATAAAAACTATTCCATGGGTGACATTGAGTCAGAACCAGCAACCATATTAAGATGCAATTCACATTATTAATGAAGAATAAAGATAGGTAGTCATACCGTTCTTATATATACAAACAATTGGACATGCATACAGTTATAAATCGGTGTATACAGGTCGTGGGGGCTAGGGGGAGGGCATCAGTCATGTTAATTAAATAATGATAATAAAATAACTACGTAACACACAGTTTGCTTTGTTGTACAATATATACAAATGCAAGTAGTTTACTTTACGCTTTAAACGTTACAGCCATGGAGGCTACATGTACACACTCTCTACGTACTATGAATAGATGCATGTTTGGCATTTTATATTAACTTCGTTCGATTTCACCAGCACAGGTGAGCCAGGTGGGTAACACACATGGAGGTTTGGGAGGATATGATTGTGGCACTTGACATGTTGAAGCAATGCATATGATAACGACTGCTTCTGTATAAATATATATTGTAACAACCCCTATTACACAAATTATTTTATGTATACCATAACAATTTTACCTTCTGCACACATGAGTGCACACTAGATGTGGCAACGTTTATATTAAATACTATATGTCTCTGATGGTGAGTATACCATTACAAGTAAGACAATTTATAAGGGATATATAAATATATGGCATACATTTTACTAACTATAACCTTATAGCTACATGTATATACTGGTATATGCATTACAAAATTTGGATAGTGTAATAGCCATATTAGACATTACACATGCTCATTAGTAACAGAACAATTTAGTCCAATGTATACATACTGATGCACAAGCTTATATTAGACTCAAAAGCGTGCAATACATATGTAATAGATCTATACGTTACCTGATGTATAATATGATACACATCAACGTTTATAATCTTTATAGCACATTTATGTATGCAGTCTTGAAGCTGCACATATGTATAAGAATATTGATAGGGTGTAGTAACCATACTAATCTTTAAATATTGTAATATAACATTCATACAAATTTGATTGGAATGCTAGCACTCCGGTCTACTATATGATATTTTAACAACCAGTATACCCGTGCACGAGCTTGCAGTAGACCGGAAGTGGGAAAAAACACATAATGTTATGTGCAATAAAATGGATGACCAGTGCAATGAGTAAATACGGACTGATTTATGTATGATACATATGCAAGACCACACACTTGTGTTTTTCTAACGAATCAGAAAGCACGAGTGTATTGCGCGGACGAATATATATACGTCCGCGCAATAAATGAGTGAGCTTATGCCATGGTGCGGCGTCCGTCGTCCGTCCGTCGTCCGTCTGCCCGGCGTCAAATTGTTACTTTAAACAACTTCTTTTCAGTAACCAAAAGGCCTAGGATGATGATATCTGGCCAGCAGCATGCTGGAATCAAGGGCTACCAAGTTTGTTCAAATGAATGACCTTCATTTTTTTTTCAAGGCCACAGGGGTCAAATATGCTAAAATCTTTGAACGACTTCTTCTGAAGAACCAAGAGGCCTAGGGTGATGATATTTGGCCAGAAACATGTTGGGATGAGGGGCTACCAAGTTTGTTCAAATGAATGACCTTCACCTATTTTGAAGGTCACAGGGGTCAAATATGTTTAAAACCTTTAAAACAACTTCTTCTCAATAAGCAAAAGGCTAAGGGTGATGATATTTGGCCATTAACCATTTGGCTGGGATGAAGGATTACCAAGTTTTTCAAATGAATGACCTTCACCCATATTCAAGGTCACAGTGGTCAATATATGTTTAAATCTTTAAATGAATTGTTCTGTATAAACAAAAGGTCCAGGGTAATGATATTTTGCCAGAAGCATGCTGGGTTGGACGACTATAAACTATAAATCAATTTTATGTCCTTATTTGACATTCAAGGTCACAGGCGCCATATGTTTAAATATTTTAATATGTTCTTATGAGTCAAACACTGATATTCTGCCTGTAGCTGTATTTTAGTCCACTTTTAAGATTATTTGTGTGATATTAATACCAGGTGAGCGAATCAGGCCCATTGGGCCTCATCTTTTTAAACACTGCGCTTTGGCGTATACTGCAGTGCGCTGTTTGGTCAGGGCCTCGTTGATATAGAATCGGCTGCTGGCAGAAGGGGCTACATGATCAGGTTCGGATGAGGTGGAAGTCCGACGCGATGGAAACAGACTAAATCTGGCATCATATACGAGGGCCCTAGTGCGATAATAAATGAATCTTATTATTATATCACGTGGATATGTACAGGATTTTGGGCCTACCCGATACGAACGACTAATGTCATTGAGTGTCACCTTGATACCCAGGGTATCATTACATGCAGATAACACAAGATCATTTTAGTTTTAGGCAGTTCCTTCTCGAGTACTGTTCTAAATCATCCAACTTGTTCTCAAGGAACTGGACACATTGCTGGAGTTGGGTGATACCTATGGAAGATACTAGCGTGTCCTTGAATAGTGAGTTACTCAGTAACCTCTTTTCTCTATGTACTATCGCTATATCAGGTCATCGTTCACCTCTATGTACTGTCGCTACCTCAGGTCACCTCTCCCCTCTATGAACTGTCGCAACCTCAGGTCACCTCTCCCCTCTACGTACTGTCGCTACCTCAGGTCACATCTCCCCTCTATGTACTGTGACTACATCAGGTCACCTCTCCCCTCTATGTCCTGTGACTCCCTCATGTCACTTCTCCCCTCTATGTACTGTGACTTCCTCATGTCACTTCTCCCCTCTATGTACTGTGATTCCCTCAAGTCACCTCTCCCCTCTATGTTCTGTGACTACCTCAGGTCACCTCTCGCCTCTATGTACTGTCGCTACCTCGGGTCACCTCTCCCCTCTATGTACTGTCGCAACCTCAGGTCACCTCTCCCCTCTACGTACTGTCGCTACCTCAGGTCACCTCTCCCCTCTATGTACTGTGACTACCTCATGTCACTTCTCCCCTCTATGTACTGTGATTACCTCAAGTCACCTCTCCCCTCTATGTACTGTGACTACCTCAGGTCACCTCTCGCCTCTATGTACTGTCGCTACCTCAGGTCACTTTTTCCCCTCTATGAACTGTCGCAACCTCAGGTCACCTCTCCCCTCTATGTACTGTGACTACCTTAGGTCACCTCTCCCCTCTATGTACTGTGACTACATCAGGTCACATCTCCCCTCTATGTAATGTCGCTACCTCAGGTCACCTCTCCCCTCTATGTACTGTGACTACCTCAGGTCACCTTCCCCCTCTGTGCACTGTGACTACCTCAGGTCTACTCTCCCCTCTATGTATTGTCGCTACCTCAGGTCACCCATCCCCTCTATGTACTGTGACTACCTCAGGTCCCCTTTCCCCTCTATGTACTGTCGCTATCTCAGGTCACCCATCCTCTTTAGGTACATTGTCAATCTCATGTCATGTCTCCTAGTGTTTATGCACTGTAATGAACATTGTGCTTTAAAATACTGAAACTAACTTCAATCCGTTGAAGCGTTATATGCTTCTAAGTATCCAAAATTTAGTCAGAATAGATTTTATTCAAAGCGTTTTTGTTATCCCTTGGCTAGAGTATCATTTTGTCATTAAATCACAACCTTTATTATAATCTAGGACTTGTGATATGCTCTACTTCATATAAAAACTTTTTTTCAAATGGCATGCAACCGTCTATGTTTGTGTGAAATATGAGAAGCATTAGAGTGCAGTGATGTTGTGACTTTACTGAACCCCGTATACATGATCATGTGACTAAAATAAGATCCCCGTGTACTTTGTACATTCTAGGTCAGTCCATTGTCCAACACGGTACGGCTACTGGGATAGAAATACGATACTGGTGACGTCTTTATACTCACAAACACGCAAAATATTTGTTAGGGATTTTTTAATGCGTGCGCATCTCAAATAAAACATTTAAAGCTGATTGGTCGATACTGACAACTCCCATTATTATTATTATGTTTATCTTATCAAGCATTCGTTTTACGGTTTTGTATATAGACTGATCAACGTCAGACACCCATACAACACCTGTATTTTATACCTGTTTAACGTACAACATGCCGGAACCAAGGATGAATCCGATGTTCGCAGTCGTAGGAACATTTGTCCATTCGTCCGACAAAGAACCGTTAATTACACTGCAGAATCACTGTCTGGGAGTAGCCAATGGGAAGGTAAGTGATTCTCTAACTTTTATATCAGGCGGAACCTCTTTTAAAGGATACAGTTTATAATCCTGTTACAAAATTATGTAAACATGAAATTCAATAGTAATCCCTGAGCTATGATTTTTAGGTGTACATGACTCTTAGGAATCAGAGGAAGGGGATTAAAGAGGGCTACTGCGTAAAGGAGGTATCCGAAAATGAAAAAGGGAAGACAAATAAATAATAAACAAAAATGTTTTCGGAAGTCATACCTCTACCATAACATATTCTTACTTGAAATATCCACCTGATTAAAGTATGTATGCTTTAACAAGAAAGAGGGATTTGAGAAATATATGTTCGTGTTAAGGATCCCTGTACTACACTCGGCCAAACACTAGAGAGTTCCGGGGTAGTTTTTCATGCTTATAGTAACCTCCCCTCATTTTCGTCTTGAACGTTATTGCAGTGGAAATGGAACTTTTGTTAATTGGGAAGCTCTTTTGGTTAAAGCACCTTGATCAAAATGGGCTTTTTTCTGTAAAATATATAAATCAGTTTAATTGATTCTCATAAACGGCATAAATAGTTTTTCTTTTATATGACTAAAAAAAGTGTAAAATCAGATAATCATGACCCTCCTGCTTTCTTTAGTTGTAAACTTTGAAATAAGAAACTCGCCTGTTAAATTCGTCAAAGTAAAAGATGCCACGGATCTGTAATTCATTTTTGCTGAATTCTATAATATTTTATGTTTAACAGAGGAAGACAGCTTATAATATTATTTTTAATAAATCGCACCGGGAAATATTATCTACGAGGTCTTTACAATATAAATTTAACTATCTCTGTATTTGCTCATAATAGCTATTTAAAAAAAAAAAGTTAAATTAAATTTCTGATAAATTTTGTAAATGTTGTTGAGTGACACTGAAATAAAACCTTAACAGTTGATTGATTGATTAGTAATTGATTGATAATTGATTGATTGATTGATTGATTGATTGATTCAATTGATTGTTGATTGATTGATTCAATTGATTGTTGATTGATTGATTCAATTGAAAATTGAAAATTGATTGGTTGATGAGACTGTTTATAACACCTGGGATCACTTCGGTCTCGCAAGACAACTCTGGTCCCAGGTACATTACGTATCACATGTGTCAGTGACCATCACAGGTAGTCTTGCTGTTGATGTTCCAAACACACACAAACATATAGGCCATGCATACTTTAATAAATGTGCTAACATCAAACAAATACGAGTGGCATAAATGTTGGTTTTATACTGTTTAAACATGTAAACAGGACATAATTTCGAAGATTTACTAGTATATATACATAATACTATGATAAAAAATGATTNATATTATATATATATGTTTCTCTGTGTAACAAACTAGACCAGTGAAGAAGAAACAAAACCGCCGACTGTAGTTAGTAACCTTAGTCGGTCAGTGTGAGAATGTCATACATCTGTTACAGAAACTCCTTTTCTGATATGGAGGTGTACTAATAACCTTTATCTACTTTTCATAACACTAACTTGGAAGTAAATAGGTCAAATTATAAAACACAGCAACAAAACCACAGAATTAAACCACACCAAATATATACCACAACGTCAACACATGCAGGTAAAACACACAAAATATATATAAAACGTCAACACAGGCAAGTAAAATCGCAAAATATATACCACAGCGTCAACACAGACAATTAAAACACACAAAATATATACCACAACGTCAACGCAGGCAAGTAAAACACAAAAAAGATATACCACAACGTCAATACAAACAAGTAAAACACACAAAACATATGCCACAACGTCAACACAAACGAGTTAAACACACAAAATATATTCCACAACGTCAACACAAGCAAGTAAAACACACAAAATACATACCACAACGTCAACACATGCAGGTAAAACACACAAAATACATACCACAACGTCAACACATGCAGGTAAAACACACAAAATACATACCACAACGTCAACACATGCAGGTAAAACACACAAAATATGTACAACAATGTCAACACAAACAAGTAGAACACACAAAATATATACAGCAACGTCAACACAAACAAGAAAACCACACAAAATATATACCGCAACGTCAACACAAACAAGCAAAACACACAAAATATATCCAACAATGTCAACACAAACAAGAAAAAAACACAAAAAATATATCCCACAGCGTCAACGCAGGAAAGTAAAACACACAAAAAATATACCACAACGTCAACTCAGGCAAGTAAACCACACAAAATATATTCCACAACGTCAACACAAACGAGTTAAACACACAAAATATATACCAAAGCGTCAACGCAGGCAAGGAAAACACACAAAATATATAATATATACAACAATGTCAACACAAACAAGAAAACCACACAAAATATATTCCACAACGTCAACACAAACGAGTTAAACACACAAAATATATAATATATACAACAATGTCAACACAAACAAGAAAACCACACAAAATATATTCCACAACGTCAACACAAACAAGGAAAACACACAAAATATATGCCACAACGTCAACGCAGGCAAGTGAAACACACAAAATATATACCCCAGCGTCAACACAGACAATTAAAACACACAAAATATGTACAACAATGTCAACACAAACAAGAAAACCACACAAAATATATTCCACAACGTCAACACAACCAAGTAAAACACACAAAAAATATACAACAACGTCAACACAAACGAGTTAAACACACAAAATATATATCACAACGTCAACACAAACGAGTTAAACACACAAAATATATTCCACAACGTCAACACAAACAAGTAAAACACACAAAATATATACAACAATGTCAACACAAACAAGTAAACCACACAAAATATATACCACAGCGTCAACGCAGGCAAGTAAAACACACAAAATATATACCACAGCGTCAACGCAGGCAAGTAAAACACACAAAATATATACCACA